TATATTATTTATATATATAATATATATTATATATAATATATAAGTGTAATGTAAGACTTTTGGCTGACCCCCTCCCCTCCAAAAATATTACGTAATATCTGTCACTGCCCTAATTCTTTAACAGCTTTAATTTTTCTTTTGCGAGAAGCACTACGAAGTTTAGTAATATTAGGACTAGTTATCTAATTAATTAAATACTCTTGTAATAGAATTATTTCTTCAGTATCCTGATCCTCTTTAGAGTTAAAATTTTCTGTACTAACATTCTCTTTAGGTTCATCCATATTACCTTTATGCTTCTTTTGATTTATCACAATAAAATCTTTTAGTGGTCAAACCAATTTTGCATCTTTATTAGTTTTTAAAGCAATATTAATAGCAGTTTTGGCTATTGAAAATACAATTCCATATTGATTCTTTTGTGAGATACATTTGTAATCTACTTTATTATAATCAGATTTATTAAAATTTTGTACACTTTGAAAATTAAAGGTTACTTAAAAAGAATAGTTGGAGGGTGATTCTAATACAGTAAATACGAGAGAATTTTTAATATTAAAATCTAATTTAATATGAATACTATCTTTATACTATCTGGCAGGTATAATATTTATATAAAATCTTGCAAAATATGAGTATAGCATAACATGTCAAAAATGCTAGCAAATTATACCTTTTGTAATAGTTTCTATACAAGTACAAATATATATTTTATTTGCAAAAAGTATTACTAAATTCTTTTTACGTGAAAGCTCATCTATACAACAAATTCTCCAAGTTTCAATTATATTTTTAGCTTCTATACTAATTAAAAGAGACTGTAAAGTAGTTTGTGGCTTATCCAATATATCTTTTATAAAATAGTTATTAATAGTTTCCAATTCTGAAGACTATAAAATAAGCATAACAATATAATATATTATATATATGCTTATAAATAATAGTTAATATAAATAATAAGATTTCCTTACTTCGATAGAATATAGAACTAATAAACCCTCATATATAAATGATTAGGATATTTAAAATTGTTGTCATGATAGTATAGATGATATTAAAAACTAAACAAAAATCATATTCACATTTGAAAAAAATTGAGATAAAAGATACAGAAGACCAATAGGTATATATTGATCTTTAAGATCTATCAATTTACAATATTGAGATTCATCCTCATATCTTTTATTAATTATCTTTTCAATATCACACAGTATATTAGCACTATTTAAAGCCTTCTTAATAATACTATTAAATGACTCTATACTATGAATGCTTTGTATGCTGGTATTAAATTAAAATATTGTAAATGATCTAGCTCAACTAATTTAATTACTATATAAAACTTTATTCATATAGTTGCAACATTCAGAAAATGACTCTAATATAAATTTCCACTGTTGATTAAATAATTCCACACTTAATACATTTCTATATAAGTAAATATCTGGCTAAAAAAAGAGAATTTTGGGTCTAATTTTGCTTTAAAATATTTAATAATATTTTGTCAAATATAAAAAAGACAATAAAAATAATTTGTCTCTAGAAAAACTTAAGTAGCTGCATTTATTAAACCTAGTTCAGAATCTGTTCGAAATGATTTTAAAACAAGATTATCAGTTGTTTTCATTAAATATTACAAAATCTACCTATATATTAACACTATTTTATTCTCAACTAATATATTTGCTATATTTCAAAACCTTCTATAATTATCCCTAATTATAAATATACTTTTTTTTTT